CAATTCAATCAAAATCATTAATTAATTTTAATCACGTATTTTCTGGTATTGACAACTTTTTGAATAAAAATTTTATGAAGGGGCGTTGGTTTCTCATTTTTGTAAAAATGAGAATGAAAAATATAACCGTTATGAATTTCAAATGGGAGATAAAAATTCAAATTTGATGATTTAATATGATGAATAACGATAATATTATTCATTTTAATGAGAAAAAATAGGAAACAAACGAGGGCTAAGAGCATATTTAACAATCATTTTTGTAAAAAAAAAGTTTTGAATAGTGATTTTTAGGAGAGTGTGTGGTTAAAAATATGATTTTTTTTATATTATATAAATATATAATTAAAATTGATCCAATAACATATTATAAAATAAATTAATACTTATCAAAGACACTAACAATTTTTATCAAAATTTATTAAGTCCTACCGAATTTATTTACCAATTGCTGAGTAAATCATAATTTTTGTATAAAATATAGAGAGGATGAGAGAAGGCGGGGGCGCTTTACGACATTTTAATGTTGAACACATCGATAGCAGAAAACAGAACGCAGACAGAGTACTTGGTGGAGTAGAGAAACACCACCACCACCACAACCTTCCCTCCCTCGAAAAACACCTTAATCCACCCTGCGTAGTGTACATTATCCACGAAGACAAGGTGAAGAACATTAAAGTCTATACATGCAGGTATTATTCTTGAGTAGTCCTGTTTGTGGATCACAGTTGATGGTTTTTTTTCCTTCAATTATTAGTGTTGTTTGATTTATTTTTAAGTGTTTGTTTTGGGTTGACAAGGATTTTTGTGGACTTGGTTGTCAGGTGAAGGGGATGCCCTTAACCTTTGATTTTGAGGGGAAGGGGGTGCTGGATTTAGAGCTGCTTGTCAATAAATCATCTTGTTGCGGCAGAAATAATTTCGAGGAGAATTGCTTTTTGAATAGTTTTTGTGAGCCTATATCTGTCCTGGATACTGTTAGGAGTCCCAGCGGGCTGACTTCGTCGTCAACGCTGTCTTCGTCCTTAGGCGGTGCCGGCAGTATACCTGGTGGCGGTGGTGGGGCTGGTTCTACTGACACGGCCGACGTGACGGCGGTTTCAGGGAATAACACCAATTTAAGTTCCAAATGGAGGCAAGACTCCACTGCCACCAGCTCCAATGCCGGAGCTGATTATGAGGTCCTCCCTGTTCCTCCGTCTCTCCAGATCCGCAACATCTCTGCCATCACCACCGCGACTCCAAACACTGAAAAATGTTCAATGGACGAGTGGGAGAGCGTATTGTCGGAGTCTGTTGCTGCCTCCCCCAGCCAAGATCAGTCCATCGTACGGTGGATCGTGGGGGATGTGGAGGACCCTTCAATGGGCAGCCTGAACAAGGTCTACCAAATCGGTTGTGGCCCGCAGGCGGCGGCGGACTTTGAGTTCAATGGCGGGTTTGGGGCTGTGGATCAAACATTTGGTGCGGACCCAGTTGGCCAATTTGGTGTAAATTTTCTCTCCCCAGTTCCCACCTCTGTGCCCAATTTAAATTTCGCCACGAACAGATCCGGGAACCCATCTTCAAATCTGCCCAATAACGTGTTCCCTTTGGTGCCTAACATTTTTGGAGCATTTGATACTCCACAGATGCTGATAAACCAGAACCAATCTCAACACCCAACGGACCCCTCGTTTTTCATGCCAATATCATATACCCAGCAGCCGGAACAGAATCTATATATGCCACCACAGGCGAAAAGGCACAACCCTGGTGGGGCGATTGGTGTAGGTCTTGAGCCGCCGGGCAGCCAAATCCTCAAAGGTCCCTTTTTGGATACTGGGCAAGAGCTTTTAATGGCAAGACAACAACCGTATAATTACCAGCAGCCACCGCCTGAGGGCCTTTCTCACCAGCTTCAGTTCCTTCCTCATTATCTACAGCAAATTAGGCCGGCAGCAGCAATGGAATCAAGTCCAAAGCCAAAAATGGAAGGGGATGAATTTGGACATTGCCCTCAGCAACAGCAACAGGCGATAATTGACCAGCTATTCAAGGCTGCTGAGCTGGTCCAGACTGGAAATCCGGCACTCGCGCAAGGGATATTGGCGCGGCTCAATCACCAGCTCTCTCCCACTGGTAAGCCTTTCTTTAGGGCTGCTTTCTTTTGCAAGGAAGCATTGCAACTTCTCCTTCATACTAACAACAATATCAATTCCTCTACTGTCACTGCATCTCCGTTTAGTCTCATATTTAAGATTGGTGCCTACAAAGCCTTCTCAGACATCTCCCCCGTCCTACAGTTTGCAAATTTTACTTGCAACCAAGCCCTCCTTGAAGTGGTGGAAGGATTTGATAGAATTCATATAGTAGATTTTGATATCGGGTATGGTGGGCAATGGGCCTCACTGATGCAGGAGCTTGCATTGAGGAGTGGTGGTGCACCGTCCTTGAAAATTACTTCATTTGCCTCATCCTCAACCCATGACCAATTAGAGCTCGGCCTTACCAGGGAGAATCTAATTCAGTTTGCTAATGAAATCAATATTGCATTTGAGTTTGTGGTTATGAACATCGATGCTTTGAATTCTGGTTCATGGTCTATGCCTTTTCATGTATCGAAGAATGAGGTGGTTGCGGTGAATCTTCCGGTTGGTTCTCTTGCAAGTTACCAGTTGTCAGTACCTTTGGTTCTTCGTTTTGTAAAGCAGCTTTCACCGAAAATTGTGGTTTCTGTGGACAGAGGATGTGATAGAACTGATTTACCATTTCCCAACCACATTATTCACGCACTTCAATCTTATTCTAACTTGCTTGAGTCCCTAGATGCTGTCAATGTGAATATGGATGCACTGGAAAAGATTGAAAGGTTCTTGCTACAACCAAGAATTGAAAAAATTGTAATGGGCCGATTTCGATCCCTTGAAAAGATGCAGCATTGGAGGACTCTGTTTTTATCATCTGGGTTTTCCCCTATTACTTTTAGCAATTTCACAGAATCACAAGCGGATTGTCTTGTGAAAAGGACTCCTGTTCGAGGATTCCAAGTTGAGAAAAGGCAGTCTTCACTTGTTCTTTGCTGGCAACGGAAAGAACTGATCTCTGCATCCGCTTGGCGATGCTGAAATTGTTAGTAGATTTCTCGATTCTGCCTTATTGTGAACCTGCCTTTAGAGGCACAATCCCTTGAACATTTAAATTTTCTCGCAACTTGACTCCCCTTTGCTAATTGTATTTGTGACGTAGACATATTGTTTCCACCATTGAAATGAACCAGGCATTTTAGTACTGGATATCCAGATATAGTTTGCGTTGAAATCTGTTATTGCTATTACCTTTGAAAGGTGTAATTCGTTGTCGAATATTTGTCTTAACTATACAAATACTTTTGTTATGCTGAATTTCTAATCGGTTGATCTTCATATTCCACAATATGCCTTGGATTCATATTAGATATATCACCAATCAAGATTTTGTCATATTTATGTATATTCCAAATTCCAATGTAGTTGAAGTATATTCTCATGCATATTCTGATTACAGATCTCACATTTCTGTATGTTTCCAATTCTTGCTTCATAGTAATGCATTTTAGAGCTGTCTCAGTATCTCTTGCCAACAAATTTCTGGTTAGGTCTTCTTGAAATTGATT